TGCTGGGAGTATTCGACCCCCCCCCCCCCCCGCGTACTGTTTTTTTGCACACAGGATTCCCTGGAGTTGGGTTTTCGCTTGCATTTTTTTTCAAAATGCTGGTCTCGCTAGGCGCCGGCCTCATTTTCGGGCCCCGCTCGTTCCGAATCGTGCTCCCGCTGCAGCGCTGGCCTCATTTCCGTGCTTCCGCTCGTTCCGAATCGTGCTCCCGCTGCAGCGCTGGCCTCATTTCCGCGCTTCCGCTCGTTTCGACTCGTGCTCCCGCTGCAGCGCTGGCGTCATTTCCCGTGCCATGCCACGGCATGCAATGCAATGCTAGGTTGATACTACGCTTTGCGGTGCTCTTCTACGCCATGCCATGCCGTGCTCTACAATGCATCGCGTACCCTTTCGGGATCATTGCCCTGCTCGACATCCGACTGTGCGAGTAGAGAGGGGATCTACGCCATGGTAAGGGATGGGAGGGAGGGGTAGGATGTCAGATATGACGCGAGCGCACCTAGCTTGTCCCCCTCCCCCTCTCCCCCCCCCTCTCTCCTGTCCCCCCCTCTCCTTCCTCTCTCCTGTACAATTACTCAATATGAATACTACTCTCCCGTCGGCGTCGCTGTCGTAGTGTCGTACAGTCGGCGTCGCTGTCGTAGCGGCGTCGGCGTCGGCAGCGGCGTCACAATGGCGTAAAAGCAAAGTTGTCGTAACGGCGCCGGCGTCGGCGTCGAGTCGGTGTAAAACTGTCGTAACGGCGTCGGAGGGCTCGTCAGGCGCCGTTGGGCTGTCGTCGGGAACCGTCGGGCTCCGTCGGGCTCCGTCGGGCGGTCGTCCGGCACGTCGGGCTCCGTCGGGCACCGTCGGGCGCCGTCGGGCTCCGTCGGGCTCCATCGGGCTCGTCGGGCTCTGTCGGGCTCCGTCTGCAAACGAGCTGTCGTCGGGCTCCGTCGGGCGGTCGTCCGGCACGTTGGATGCGACTGCCCATGCTTGGAAAGTCACGCCAATGAGGACGCGATTCCTGTTGCACGCGGCCGCTGATAGTTGACGTCGCAGCGGTGCAATAGATCGAACCAGGCTCCACGTTTGTTCACCTATCCATGGTTGGCGCGGGGTGTCTCGAGTAGTTCCGAATGCAACTACAGCGCAATCCAAAATATGGTTCTTCAGTGCACTGCAATGGTCAGAGATCGAAGCTTCAGGTGGGACTTGAAATTGCCACAACATATTTTGGAAGTGTTGAATACGGTAGGGGTCGTTCATGCGCCACTTGCAAATGCTCGGAGGGCGTTTCGGTATGGTTTCTGTGGCTTCGCCCGAGGAGGCAAGCAAAAACAGAGTAGCCTCAATAGCATGATGGTCAACCCAGTTTGTGAAAGTCAAATCAACGTCTTTTCGGACTGTACAGCTGGACACACCACGCCAAGATTGCTCGGAAGTGAGGATACAGTCGATCCGGTATTTCTTCCCAGTGTTCCCATGACGCCAGGTACGGCCAGCATCAAATAACGAATTGACTGCGTGCAGCTCGAACGTGTCCAAAAGGTGTCGCAACTCGGACCCGTTGGCGTTCTCGCTGTGGGCGTCGCAACCGCCGATGTACTTTGAAGGCACACTCCCGATGCGGGCGTTGCCATCAATCATCGCGATGGTGTGAAAGGTCGGGAACTTAGCACGTAATTCCGACAGCAGCTTGTTGACCTGGTCGAAGAAGGTCAGGCGTTGAGCCTCGCTGCTGCACTCTGTGGGCGCGTGTGCAGAGACGAGGATTGCAGCAGCACCGTTTTTGAATACCACTGCGGCCCACATCAGGCGAGCACTCACCACGTCCCACGCGCGGATGTCAGGGTGAAGCGCGCGTGCAATCCAAATTTGAACTCCCCATAGACCACGATCGCTCGCGGCACATAGCATTATATAATGAATACCCTCCTTACGCCCCAAGGAGGGAGAGCGTCCTTCTTGAATCCCAAGGATGCTGAAAACATGCATGTGAAACTGAAGCTCTAGGAGCTGAATTTTGGACAACAGCATGGTATCGCCACCAATTTTCCCATAGGTGGTTTTCTCCTGGTGCGGTAGGAGCGTCGCCACGTTAGCCGTGACCACTCGGAGCATGCACGCGTCGCCGGTGGCTAGCTCACGATGGGGGCCGCCGGAGTGACGTGAAAACCTGCCAGCACAGCGACCTCCTCCAGCTCGGCGTCGTTGTCCGCACCAGCAGGTAAGTTCGCAGGCGCGGCATGTGCAGCAGCTGCCTGCACTGCAACTGCAGCGGGAGAGACCCCGCCGTTGGCCGCCGCAGATACTGCAAGTAGGTCTTGCATTAGAGTGTGCATCTGCGCCGCTGCGCGCGAGACGATATCCTGCGGCACGGTCGGGGAGCTCTTGAGGTCGGCCATGACGCGCGACAGCGCGCCCGTGAGGTTCGTCAGGCAGTCTTCGCCTCCGCCCTTCTTGGCGGCCACCTCGGCCTCGAGTTCGGCCAGCTCCTTGCGCTTCGTGGCAAGATCGG